TCCTGTCATGCAGAGTCCTGAGAGCTTCTCTCCTGAAGCTGGGCCTTGGGGATTGAGTCTGGGGGTTGACCACTGACCTCCCTGCAGCTGTGGCAGTTCGCAGTGCCAAGGATGGGGCCTTGCCTTTGCTGTGCCTGGCCTCTGCTGCATTAGTTACCTGTAACCCTCAGGAACAAACAAGACATATTTTTCTCCTAAAACAATAAGAGGTACRTCTGGATCACCTTAACTTGATTTGGGATGGCAGAGAGAGGAAGTGCGGGGAGAGCAACTGATGTGGGCTTATTGTCATCAGCGTCTTCTAATACAATTTTTGAATGGGAGCATCCTATTAACTCCCTTTGTTCAGACTGGAGTGATTCATTGTGCTAGAGCTTTCTCCAAGGAGTTTCTTTCAGCTGCCACTGTGCTTAGATGCTCTCTGGATCAGTASAGGTGAACCCAGCAGGCATTTCCTAGCTGTTAGGACATTGACCATAGGAGATGTGGCCCCTCTGAGACATGTCTCAGCCCTGAGATCTTCATTTTATTCCCTACTTCATTGGAAGTCACTGAATAGGACATTGGGAGATGGCTTGTGACCTTAATATCACAGCATAGGGAGCAGCAGGAGGAAGAAGATGCCAGACAGAAGTTTTCTTGCAACAAAATGTGGTCTTGGAGTAAATTTAGCCAGGAGACTGCTAAGCTGTAAATGCCAAGTTAATTAGTCCTCATGCATAATTTGTTTTTTAAAATACACTGCTGTCTCATGCAGGAACAAGAGCCCATTTCCCCTTCTGTTAGCTTGTAGTCCTTCTGCTTTCAGTAGAGAAGCTCTCTGTGAGTAGGAGCTTAGAAACCACAGATTTCCTCTCTAAGCCTGCCAAGCCAGAAGGCTGAACAGCCTTCCCAGGGCAGCACTCACAGCAGACCCACTTCACTGGATTTTCATATGACTGCACTGTTGAGGCCCAGGTTCTTTTTTACACCAGTTCCAAGCCACATTTTGCCCAATCATGGGTTTTCTTCCTCCCTACCAGCAATCATAAAAGCTAGTGTCAAAGTCCTTAGCATTTTTCATGTGTCCTGATCTYCACTGGCCTGGATAAAACCAGGTCACCGGGCTGCAAGTCATTCATCCTCAGCTTTGTCTTCCACCCAGCAATTTTGAAATGTTGTTTTAGATTTGTGATTGACAAAAAAMCAATTGTTACTTCCAATTACATTCTTATTTTCAAATGAATAGCCAGTTCCGTCTGGTGTTACACAGTTTCTCCTTGCCCCTGTTCTCCATGACTCAGTATGTTTTGCATTTATCAAGTGCCTGRTCACTCGCCTGATCGCTCCATGTGATCTTGTTTGTGGAGGAACAGAGAACTGAGCTTTATAGCAACACTTTAAAATATATTGGTTTACTCACTGAGGTCATACATCTCAGTATTGTTGGTTTCCTTAAGCAGTATTTTTCAATGCAGCCTTTGCCAACACTGCCATTGAGGTGCTTCCCAGCTGGCAATACCTGGAAAATTTGATGGCCAGCTGTGCAGCCCAGAGTTGCACATAACAGTGGTACTTTGCCCTGCCTACCTTCTCCTTACAGCAGAGAGGTTTTTGGGTGGCTGGATCCAGGTGTCCTTCCCCAGTCGTCCTGTCAGTCCTCTCTTCATGCTTCAGCCCTTGGTAGGAGCTCTGCTGCCTTTCTTCTGGCACCAAGCCAGGGCACCGGCTCTCTGCAGCACACATGTCACCCATGGGGCTGCTGCCAGTAAGGGGACAGGGACACTGCAGCGCAGTGTCCCGCAGCACGGCCCGTGCAGCTCCAGCCTGGGGCCGAGCACAACCACCTGGATACCACAGCACGGGATCTGTGCCAGCCCCACAGGCAGTGAAGCCCCTGGAAACTCCTAGAATTGTTAGAAAGTGCTTTTGTCACCTGCAGCAGCTCCACCAAAGGGAGGAGGTCGTTTCTCCTGGTCTCTGAGAAAAGGAGGTGAGAGGAAGTGAGCAGTAAATCAGTGCACTGTCAGGGGGGACAAGGTAAAGATGCAAGGAGCTGAAATAGCATTAAGAGCTCCCCACCTTCTGCAGACCCCGACCCTTTTGTGGATGCTGGGCGGGTTTAGGTTTAATGAGCACATCACTTTGCACCACTTCCCTTTGTGCGAGCCGGGGCGCTTTTCCGTAGACTCCAACTGCGTCTCCCTGCGGGGGCAGCCACCAGCCCCAGGCATCGATCCTACTGCGTTCCTAAAGCAGAGAGAAAGTCCCGCAGCTTCCCCTCCAGCTAGTTCTCCTGCTGCCATGGCTTCCTGTTATTCCTAAATTCCCGATATTTTTAGGTTGTCGACTGTCTTCACACCCACTTTGGGAGCGATGAAATCTCATCCTGGGGAAGTGGTGGCAGCACCGCTCTAGTAACAAAATCATTAAATCGATTTCCTTGGCAGCAAAGCCATCCCTAGTGAAATGTCACTGATACCTGCAGTGTTCTCTCCAGAGCCGGCAGCCTCTCGTGAGCCATGTGGTTGTTAATAGAGGAGGAGGAGGAGGGAGGAGACCAGCACATGGCTGAGCTAGTGCCAGCAGTGCAGAGCCCATGGAAAAGGGGAAAAAGAGGAATCTCAGCTTAGGAAAAGGAGCAGACTTTCACTCGATGGAAACCTGATACTTCACCTCCGTCTGTTAAGCAGCAGGTGATAAAGTGATACAGACCTCAACTGATGTTTGTCCATGAAATAAACCCAACAGTACACAGCCCTGAGATATATGTTTATATAGAAATAAGTAATTAAGTTATTTGTTTCTGAGGCATAAGAAATAGATTTGTTTTCACAACACATTGAGCATCACTTCATCATCAGTAATAGAAAAGCCCGTAAAAAGGACCTCCCTGGAGAGCTATTAGGTAACAGATTACCCTGGAGATAACTGTGAAGAGACGTCCCAGCAGGTCTCATCTCATCAGCTGCTGTCCTGGTAGAAGTGATGAAAAAATGTCGGTGGATCTCAGCAGGACCCAAAGTTCATGAGAATAATTGCTGTAGGGCTGCTACTGGCAATGGCCTCTGACTTTCCACCCCGATCAGCAGCAAGGGCTGCTGCAGAGTGCACAGCCCAGAAGGAGTGAAGTACTAATGTGGTGGAATGGGGTGGGGTTGTGGGGAGAGCCCAGTCTGCAGCTTCAGGGTGCTCCTTCTCTGCTACTGCCTGCCCTTGGGTACTTCATTTGCATTGAAGTACAGACATGAGCTGGGAGCCTGACAACAGCTCTCTTCTTCATTGCAAGAACCCAAGCATCAAGATCTCGCACATTCCACCAGCTTTTGGAGCTCTGCTAAGGGCCCACCAAGGCATTTGTTTCATGTCTGCTTCTTTGAGTGCTTTGTCTCTGCTTTAGGCATGACCAAAATGAAGACAAGCCATGGTCCTAGAGGGAGCAAAGGTGTTTTGTCTCATCACACTCTACTGACCCATGAGCACAAGGGACAGTGCTTTGGCCAAGAAGCTGCTGGCTCACTTTCACTGAGGCTCCTTGGGAAGGGGACTGTGCTTGCTCTGTGCAGAAAGGACAGAATTCTGCCTGTCGATTTTCCATTTGTGTGTGCTGGGACTCTGCTCTCCAGCATCAGGAACAGCCTGAGTAAATCCAGAAACCTGTAGCATCTCCAGGAAGCACGAGACATTATTTTTGCCTGTACATTGATCCTTCTCATTTTCTCTCCATTTTATTGCTGAAGCCTTGTTTCTTTCAACACTCAGAGAAAACGCCAGCCCAGTGTTGAGGAGAGCCAGTTTTACAGGGCTTGGAGTATTGCTACTCCACCAAAAGTTGTTGCTGTGGGACTTGGAGTGGATGAAAGGATAATTCGTCATCAATAAGACAGAGCTGAAGCAGCCTAAAGCCCATCTGGGCAGAGACAGGAGGTCCCTAAATCCAGGTTCAAAGCTTTGGGGAAGACGCTGAGTCTGTCTGTGATCACATGTCTCACCGCTCTCGTGTTCTGGCCACTTTGTTTCCCCAGCTTTCCAGAGTTTACAAAGGACTTCCATATCTGCCTGCACAGGCATTGCCCCAGCAAGCAAACCAAACACCACATAAATACTCAGCTTTCCCAAGGGTAAACCTGGGAACAGCAGGCTCTCATCCCTCCCTTGGCAGGGAGACACATAACAACAGAAGGGAGGGATTTCAAGTGCTCACTTTTTACCCTCAGTCCTGTGTACCATTCAGCCTGCCCTGGTTAATTCATCCTCACTGCTGCTCTCCCTCGATTCATTGGCAATTCCCAACAGCATTTCCAAAAGCACTGTGGAGCCCCATCAATCTAAAGAGTGAAACAAATTCCTTTTCTTAACAGAGATATGCACTGAAAGCAAAAAAAAAATAAACCCAGCATATCCAGGGTACAAGCAAATAAATAGCAATAACAGCATAACTTTATTTAGATTTAATGTGACATTTAGCACAGTAATATGCACGGAAAGAAAAAAATACCAAAATACCAAACTCATAGCATATAAAGTAATCAAATATGTTTCATACTTAGTGAAATATTTCTACAACACATCAGTGGGACTACCCTGGGCAGCCCAACACTGTAAATAAATAGATATATTTATAGCTGTGTTATATAAAATACTGTATGTAGAGAAAGCACTGAAACTTTTCACCAAAATAGAAAATAGCTCAAAATACAGATAGTTCAGATTTGCTGGATATACCCAATATCGAAAAGAGGTTCAAACCTCTTTATCTGGAGATAAGGCTCCAGCTGAGATGCCCTAGTAGTCACAGGATGGTGGGAGTGGGCACACATCGGATCAGCTGGCAGGAGCCTGACTGATGATGGCCATGAAATGACAAGTTTCTGATTGTCACCCAGAGCCCTCAAGATGCTTCTGAAATCAGAATGATGTTGGTGTTTGTGGCTGATGGTGGGGCCAAAGCGCTTTTGCTAAGTCAGAGCTACCAGAGCAGCTCCTGCTCCTTCAGCACAGCTGGATCCCTTAAGGATCCCTTAAGGATCCCTTAAGGATCCAGCTGCACAGGACTGGCCATCAGAGGATGCACAACATCACAAGGATATTATTCTGAATTTTAAAGATGCTTCTTCAGCAGATGGCAGTGATTAATTCCCATCAGGTTTTGAAAACATAAAAAGCTGTGTTTGTGCAAAGCCAGGCTCCCCCAGGCAATACAGGAAACAGCAGCCCTGCTGCTCCAGGATAGTGCCACCAAATGAATSCTTGTCCTGGCAAAAACTTCCAGCTTCCCTGAGGGCAATCAAGTGTTGTACTTAAGAACCCAGGCAATTCATAGACAGATATAAAAAAAATATGGCATTTCTGGCAGCAGCACGGAGGTGCAGCTGGAGTCAATAACCTGCACCAGCTATAGTCCAGGTGCTTCAGGCTGGGTGCTGGGTGGGCAGGGGTAGGCACAGGTCCTGGTGGCAGGGGAACCAAGGGCATTCTATCTACTGCCATCCAGACAACGTGCTTTTGTGGTTTTTTGTTTCTTTTTGGCCCAGTGAAATGATTGATTTACTTGACTACCCCTGTAGGAAGGCAGCCAAGACTTGCCCAGAGGATCCCTCAGAGGGTTTCTGGTGCCAACCCCACAGCGAGCTGGGAGCTGCGAGAGATCCCCTGGGAGCCCTCCCAAACCCTGTTCCTGTGCTTCTGCTGAGCCACTGCAGATAAGTCCATAACCCATTAATAATTCTGCAATTGCTCTTTCTCATCAAGGCAGCAGTTGCATCCCTAATTACATGGCAACAATACTATGCTAACAGGATGAGCTATAATTCCTAGGCGGTATTAACATTGTTATTTTACTCTGAGAACTTCCTGGTAATGGCCATTTGAATGTGGTGATATCAATTAAGTGAATATAAATGCTTAGCCCCTGGAAAAATTATTAATAAAAATCTCATTTTGATAGCCTCTAATCACAGCTAAATACAATTACTCATATGAGGCCACTATAAAAAGTATTTTTCTCATCAGAAGAAATTCATAAGGTTTTTCCAACTGTTTGTAATAAAGAGGACACTATATAGAAAAGTCCAGAAAATAAGCACACTTTTGTTTCTCAAAACCCATAGATAAACATGACAGTATCTCTAAATTACTGGCTACGAACAGGATTTCATTTAGCTCTACTCAAGCTGTAGCCTAGTATAAATGTTTTCAAAGCAGCACGTTGCTGTTTCATCTGGAACAGCTGCACAGGATTTCTTTGATATCAAGCTCTTGTGTGGGGATGGTGTTTCAATTTCTCTTTATGCCTCCAAACTGCTGAAACTGGAAGGAAAAGACATTCAGTAAAACAAGCGTTTTTCATGAGGGAGAAAAAAATAAAAGCAGCACAATTTGGCATTGAACACGGTACTAAGAAATAATTTATCACTGCAGTGGCAACAGAAACACGCTGCATCTCTCGCATCTCTGCTTCAAAGGAGACAGAGAAACCCCAGAGAGCTGTACCTGGCACTCCCAGGGCTCACACACTGCACCCGTGGCTGTGGATTGTCATGGGCCCATGGCCAGTGGGTGACCTGGCCTTACTGCAGGTGCACCTGCTCTCTCATCCTGACTCCCACACCAGCCCATCCATCCGTCCTCACTCCCCAGACACAATCAGCTGAGGAAGGTGTGCTCCTTCCCCTGCTTCCCCGCTGTCACCCAGCCCTTCGAGCTCAGCAGGATTGAGCTGGATGGGGCTGCAGGACATCCAAAATCCCCATGGCTGGTCATGACAGGCAGCTAGAGAAGATGCTGACCTACATCAGCCACCAGACACTCTTTCATAAGCAATGAGCAAATGTTTTTTAGATTGCTCATCGCTGAGCAACCACAAGTGCTGCCTGTGAAGGTACAGAAGTGCAAATCCCCCTGTCAGGCACTCGGTGCCTCTTGGTTCCATGAGTCAGAGGCAGGAACCAGTGATACATCCCTTATTCACAGCACTCATCAAGAAAGAGCCCCGTGCAGTGCCTGCAAGGAGGGAGTTTGCCCTGCCTACTTGCCAGCAGCTACACACTTTTAGGAGGTATACAGCACCTGTTTATCTTTCTTTAGGGAGATAAGGCTGGGAAAATCTGGGACACCAGGAAGAGGTTGCAGGAGGGCTGCTGGGGAAATGCGGGAAGAAGTGGCAACACCGTTATCTCCAGACAGGATCTCTCTCTCAAACATTCATGTGGGTTTATCAGCCTCRCTTCATAAATATTTTCCAGACCAAGGTTTGTTTGTGAGCACTGTCAAAGCAGAGCCAAGGAGTCTTCTTAGTGACCTCCGAAAAGCCCATTTCCTGGGGCATTCCCCTGTGCATGTCTTTTCAGACACCAGCTTTGATGTACAATGTTTATTAGAAAAAAAAGCAGTAGAAGCTGACAAAGGCTGCTGAAAACGCCAGGGACTCTGTTTCGAAATTTGATGAGCTGATGAAAGCAATTTCTGCCAGGGCCATTGACCTCTCACTCGCCTCCAGCAAAGGGCCTGGAGGYTCCTGTGTGCCAGGGGGCACTGCCACCAGGCTGAGGAATGCACACTTACTGTTCTTCTGCCTCAGCATTGTCAATGCCCACAAATGGGATTTCTTCCCTGTCCGTCTGTCCCAGAACAAGGTGATGCTTCTCCATGTTTATGACACACTGTAGAAAATAAATGCCTTTAGGTAAGAGGGAAAACGCAGTTTTTAGTGGTCCCAGTTCTCCCATCAGCATGAGGGAAACCCATGCTGGAAAACCCCTACCTTCAGAGACTTCAGTGTCTGCAGCCCAAAGGAGAAGGATTTCTCATTGTCTTCTGGAAAAAACAGGACAATTCAGATTTATACATTCAAAATGCTCTCCTATGTTTGTTGTCAGTGACTCCATCCTTCCTCCATGGTTACTGTGATAAACAAAACCCTGTTTGTAAAGAGACTGTCTCCAGAGGAGAACAGGAGGGCACAGGATGGCAGGCGGATCTGCCCACAGGGAGATAGAGAGTTGCTCCATCAGCATGGCAAAGCCAAGCCTGCTGCACACATCCACTCCCCTCCCTCTGAAGGGCCAAACAAGGACTTACTCTATTTTAATTTTAACATCTTCCTAAAGATTTCTTTTTCCTGCTAGGGTAAGAGAAATAGACCCCAGCCCGTAGCGGAAACCCAGATGATTCCACACTCACCCACGACGAGGGCAACGCACTCCACGGGGACTGCTCCCACTGTCAGGGAGAGACACTCGATCTGGCCAATGGCTTTCACCTGGTTTGGCAACGAAATCGTCTCATCTTCGACAGGGAGTGCCTTGAGAAGCTCCTTTAAGCTGTGATTGAAAACACTCCTAACATCAAATGGCCACAGCTGGGTTGTTCCAGCAAGGAGCAAGCAGTGTTTGGAGGGTACTTACACCTGAAGTGCTCTTAGCCTTGCTCCTTTACCACACTGCTGTTGGAAAGCTGCTTCCCTCGTGGGCTCTCTGTGGATGCTATGTGCAGCCAGCAGCCCACAGCACAGCACAGCACAGCATGACCCACAACACAGCCCTAGGGCTGCCCCAAGCACAGCTCTGGGCTGGAGTTTGTACCTGAGGAATCTCCTTCCTACATTCCCTCAAGATTTCAGGAATATGAAATTGCTTCTAATGCAGTGTGGGTATAAGAAAGGGTTAGTTTGCTCCAGCTTCCACAAGTGGAGCTGGCATTATGTCCCCATGGAACCATGGAATTGTTGAGGTTGGAACAGACCTCTAAGGTCATCAAGTCCAACTGTTTACCCAGCACTACCAAGCTCACCACTAAACTGTGTCCCCAAATGCCATACCTGCACAGTTTTTGAACACTTCTAAAAATGGTGATACCACCACTTGGCTAAGCAGCTTGTTCTAAAGCCTGATCACCCATTCAGTGAGCAAATTTCTCTTATCCAAACTAAACCTCATGTGGCACAACCTGAGACTGTTTCCTCAGGTCCTGACACACATCACCTCCCTTGAGACTCCTTTCAGGTATTTGTAGAGAGTAATAACATACCCCTTGAGTCCCCTTGAGTCCCCTTGGCTCCAGGCTAAACATGGCTCACAGCCCAATCTGTGTTTGTTAGTTTGTTCAGAGGAAATGGGGACAGATCAATGACATTCAGTCCAAAGAAAAGAAAAAAGGATGTCAGAGATATCTCAGGTACAGCTTCTATCTACACCCTTTGAACCAGTCTGACAATACTAATTAATTATTTAGCTTCAGTTTCTCTTTTAAGCTGAACAAGAACCTGGAAAGGCTGTTTGAGGCACTGGTCTCTCCTCAGATAAAAGCCATATCAATTTTCAGCTATTTGAGGCTCCTTTCTGCTGAGTCACATTGCAGCAGTGCATGTGTGTGTGTATGTCCATCTGTCCATCTGTGCCGGGGGCACCAGCCCCCTCAGGGGCCCCAGGACTGCAGTGGGCACTGCCCACACCATTTAGCCCAGGTACAAGGAGCGGGAGGGATAGCAGAGAAACGGAGCTGAAACCCCTTTGCTGCTTCCCTGGAGGCTGACCTTAAAATCAGTGGGAAGTTTGTGAGTTCCTTGGCCACCCCCTGCACCTCCTACAGCCCCACAGGGGATTTCTCACGCTGGCAACCCGTGAGCCTACTCGCTGCTTTCCTCAGAGCGAGGGGGAGTGACTGGCATCATGACAAGACACAAAAAATTTTTGAGAAAGAAGGTTGGAATTGAGCCTGAGCATCAGACACATGTGCTGCTTTGAGGCACCGAGTCCCCTGGGACCTGGGCAGCAGAAACTGGCTCTGACCTCTTTCTTCAGTGCTCTTTGAAGGACAGGGCTGCTGCAGCTGAGAAGCACAGCATAAGTGACACATGGGGCAGAGGAAGTGTCCCATGAAATCCCTCCAAATGCCATCCTGTGGGCCATCCCATAGCTTGGCTGAGCTGCTCCACAGATTGTGACAAGGCTGTAGAAAGCACAGCAACCTTCCAGTCACTAAGCACTGTTGTGATTAATGTTAGGACAGGAACGGCACCATTCATCAAGGCCATGCAGCAATGCTCAGGGAGMTGGTGCAATTCATTTTTGCACAATTGCTGCAAGTTTGCTACAAAAAGCAAAGACGCTATGGGAATAAAGTGTCAAAACCTCCCTGATATCCTGTGAGCTGATACCCAGTCCTGCTGCTCAGAGATTAGAGAGAGTTTTGCTGCAATGGCTGTCAGTCACCTCTCTAACAATCCGTAAACAGATTTCCTTTTGCTTTAACCAGGAGAAATTTGTAATTGGGAGCAGCATCAGATACCGAGTTCCAAAAACATGCACACACACAGCCCCTTTACACTGCATGCAGGGGCCAACAGTGCTGCAGCCACAGGATTTGGTTGTAACAGGAGGTTCAGGAGCTTGCCCAGGCACAGTCCAAAGCACTAGGTTCTGAAATGACCATCACTGACATGGGCAAAGCCCCAGCTCCAGGAGCACTGCCTGTGCTGCCAAGAGCCAGGCTTCTGCAAAACAAATCCAGCTGGATATTTACCCTAGCCTGTCCAGGCAGGCAGACGACATGAGGTTGTGCTGTGAGCCCGTGTCCACCACAGCCTTCAGCTCCTTCCCTGCACACTGCAAGAGCAAGAAGAGATGGGAAATGATGCGTGGGATGCAGGATGGGCACACAGCATCCAGGGTCTCAACACAATAATCCCCATGAGCTCTCCTCATGCCAGCTCATCCCTTCTCCCCTCCACACTCAGATGCATGTAGGGTCCTGAGTCCTTCCTAGCTCATTTGCTCCTGCAGAGAGCAGACGAGCAGCTCCAGACAGGAGGGAATATTGTGGAGAGTGGGAAATACATAAAAGCATGGGGCTAATGAAGAGAAATGTGAAATTATCTTTGAGCAAAGAAAATAGGGATGGCACTTGAGGAAAACAAATAGGCTGTGCGCACAGGGATTTGCCATGGATAATCACACCTCAGCATTTCAGCATGCTGCCCCAGCTTAGCTACCCTCTCTACCACGATGGGCAAGGGAAGACAGTCATCTGACCAGTTTTCCCTGTGATTCCCAAGTGGGCATCTCTGCCCCAGTAGCCTGGAGCTGCAGAGGAAACATATCCCCATGGCTGTGACAGTCCCAAGGGACAGCAACCCTCACTGGGAAATGGAGAGCGAGAGCATGGCCTGACTATTAGAAATAAAATCTGCAGGAAAAAAAAAAATCCAAAAGGCTGTGGAGGGAATATTACCTGGCAGCTCACCACTATGAGCTCTTCATCCTCCTTTTTCCCTGAGCTGTCCAGTTTGGCTTGGTTCAGCTTGTTGATCTGTGATGAGAGATCCTCCTTGGGGGACCAGCTGCCTCGGCTGCCTCGCAGCTTGGATAAGTTTGTCTCCATCAGGCGCTTCTGCAGGATATTGTGTGGTTGCTTTAAGGAAGAACACACACAGAAGAGCAGGGTGAAGTCAGAGGAAAGCCACACGGTGGCCTGTGTCACCAGAGTGCCTGTGGTGCCCATGGGCCAGCACTGCTCTCGCAGGAGGGATGCCCTAAAATCTCACTCTCCCTAATTCCCAGACTACAGGTATTCTTCCTATTCTTCTTTCCTATAGAAATCCAAACAAGTCCAGCCTTTTCAAGCTGGTGTTTCAGTGTTTTCATCTCTGCTTTGCTTTCATCTCTTGATAAGGATATTGGGAATTCTGTGGTAATGTGAAAAATTAAGATGTAACAAATCACCTTTCCAATTACACCCACCACCTAAGTATGAAGGACTTCTAAAATTGCCCTGAGTGTCTCTTTTCTCTGTATTTTCATTTAGCTGCTAAGAGTGAGGAAATGGGACCAATCCTGGGTGCCATGCCCCAGAGGAAAGGGAGAAGAGATAAGCTGCTTTGAGATAGAGAGGGAAGTAGGGAAGGAGGTATTCTCCCAGGAATTCCCAACCCTTCTCTCTGTCATTTCCATTTGCTCTGGGAGAAGCATGTTGCCTCTCAAGATCTCCAGCCTCTTTCCCAAAAGCCTTTTTATGTTTAATGTTCATTTCAGATGGATGCACATACTCTGCTGGAGGTGAAATGACTCTGCCTGATTATCTGCTCATTTCTCTGCCCAGCTAATCTGCCCTCCCCATTACTGCCTTTCCTTCTGGTTTTAATTTCTCCACAGTGAGACATTCTCACTGGCTTATTCCTAAATTTTTACGTTCATGTTAAATATGCCCATGTGTCTGCAGAAACATCTGAACCAGTAAACCTCCTCTTTCCAAGGGAATTTCAGAGTCAGGATAACGTTGAAAAACTCGGGCCATGGCTCCCTGAGTTGGCCAGTGTCCACCCTTGTGTACAGCATGTTAAATAACACCACTTACAGAACTCTAATGCAACCTGGCATTGCCCTAAAATAGCTGCAGCCACGCTGGCGCCTCAAATCCCGCTGTGGGCACACATGAACAGTGGAGCTGGACCTGACTGATGAGATGGGGCAGCTGCAGCCAGCACCACTGGTCACTGGGGCACATCAGCTCCTTGTGTGCCCCCTTCCCACTGCTGTTATTCCTGCAGCTTGAAATGAAATCCCATGGTCATTTTGGATTGCAGGGGCCCTGACTGACCAGCACACTGGAGAGCATGTCCTGTGTGCGGGCAGTAACTCTGGATGGGCAGGAATCAGATCTGACATTGTGCTGCCTTCTGGTGACCTCCACCTTCCCAGGGAGGCCAAACAGCAGAAACCAGTGCTACTTAACTGGACCGAAGGAGGCAGCCTGGCTGCACTGGAACTGAATCCTGTGTGGAGGGACAAGCAGGTCAGTTTGGCTCCCTTGTGTGAGGCAGAAGCTGTAAGTGCACAGTCAGCACTGTGATCACCTCCAGTGTTCCTCATCTGAGCAAAAATGCAAGCCATGGCGTTCTGTTTGGGCGGGTGATGTCCATTTTACCCTTTATGCTTGACTGCAGCTCAGACTAACCCTTCACATCATTTAGAAACAACAAAAGAAGGGATGGGGGCTGTAGAAGAGGATGGGTGAAGTTCATCCAGCTGGCCAGAAGACAGCCTGTTACACCTTAGTCACCTCCTCATGCCCAGCCCCACTCAGGTAGGACCAAGAGAAATTTCTGAATGGCATCATCCAGGACAGTCTGGGTGCTCTTCGGATCTGCCTGGCCTCAATTTCCAATACACTCTTCATTGCTGCTTCAACTGTCATGTACCCTAAATTTTTTTAACTACAGGTTTGCCTAAAGATTGTTAACCAGTAACATATATGGGATTTCTCAGGCCCTGGTTTTATGAATCTTATGCAGGATCAATCACCAAAAGGAAAAAATCCATCACTTGATGAATACAAGTTACCAGTACAAATGAGATTGTCTTTTGTTGACACTTGCCTTTCTGAAAACCACAGCAAATCCTGCCTCTGGGGGGACAAATATTCCTTATGTTGTGCTCCAGTGCAGAAATAATCAAGCAGGAGGGGGCTGAAAGTGTTCCCTGCAGCACCATCCTGTCTCAGGCTATTAATTAGTTTACTTTACCTTGTGTTTCCCTTGACTCTTGTGCGGAACAGAGTGAGGGATGTTAGTCACAGAGATGACTCAAGTGATGGATACGTACTTGGTAACTGGATAATGTGTCAGGGGACATTTGCCAATGCACATTTTGCAAACTGCAAGCAGACCATATCTGGGAAGGAGGGAGAGGAGGAAAACCTCCCCATGGCAGCAGTGGGGAAGGCAGTTATGTTCTCCCTGCATCATGGGCCTGGCAGTGATCGAAGGAACCCAGATTACCTGGTACAATATTCCTTTGCATTGCACAAAACTGTTGGAACTTCTATAAAAATACAAGTTACATTTCATTGTGTCAGTGCAGAAATAAGTTTTCCTACTATCAATCAGCACTATATAAATACAAAACAGGGTCTGTTTTTTTTATAAGATATGACCCTTTCCAAGCTTGAGACTTTGCAAAAACCTATGATCCCCTAAAAATGTCACAGTAGAAATCTAAAGAAGCAAGTGGGAGCACCAGCTATTGGTGAAATTAATTACTACTGTCTGTCAAAAGAAAATAATTTTGCCCAGCTTTGTTCCTCTCTGATTTATAAGCAAGTGTATTTCTGCAGCTTGCAGTATTCATTTCTCTGGCAGGTTTCCCTCTATTGTGGCTTCTATCTTTGGAGATAACATGACCCATCAACAATTTCACTCAGGTGGAGGTGGAAGTCAGGGAAGACACCAGCTCCCCTCCTCCACAAACCCATCTCTTCTGTACCTAGACAGTAGAGGGGGGAGAAAAGGGAGTTTCAGTGCATCAACGGAGCTCATCCCAAGAAATAATCAATTTCTCTCTTCTTCCCATCCTCATTCAAATTCATGCCTTCTACTAGCATCCTGTGCTGTCTGCCCCTCTCTTAYGGTGATGAGGTGGGACAAGAGCTGCCCCCTGTCCCTCTGCATGCTCAGGCAGCGGCCAGCTCTCTGGACAAGGCAGTGCACGTAACATCAGAGCTTTCTGCATTTCAGGCAAGGCACAACAAACTCCAGGGCATGCACCGTGGGGAAGTGGGGACACCTGAACRCACTGCAATTCGTGCAGTGCTATGGGAAGCTGGGTCTGGGGTCACGAAGCACCCAGGGCTGTGCTGATGGTGCCCAGGTGAGGCCTGAGAGCAAGAAGAAAAGGGGAAATTCTTTTGTTATTGCTCTTTGTTACCAATTTGTAACTGTGTTTCCCAGTTTGTCGAATAAAGCGGGACTCTTTCAGGCAAAGCTGCTCCAAAGTGGCCTGGTGGCTCTCGGAGCAAGGTATAAGTGTCATAGCACCAGAGGAGCTGCAAGAGCCAGCATGCCCTGTCCGAGTTGGGCAGGGGGTCACGATTTACCTGACAGGTCCCAGTGGAGGACAAACTCGTGCCAGATTTCTGGTCTTCAGGAAAGAGACTGATAAAGGGGAGAGTCATCAAAACAAAACCATTTCTGTACTCTACATCCAGACCTACATTTGCCAAATTCATTGTAGGCTATGCTAGGTCTCATACTGGATGGAGTAGAGTACATAAAGGGAGTGAGAAGCTAGAGTTTGGTCTGAGCCAGAGTAATTCACTGGAAATGATCAGAACATTGAAATGGATGATTACAGCAAAAGTTTATCAATCCTGCCTAAGAATTTCTCAAACCTGCTTGTGCATGGCATCACCAGGAGAGCTGCTTCAGGAGCTGAGTAATGGCACACAGGCTGGGGGATGCCAGCACAGCCACCCCGGTGACCTGCTGCTGCCACTGCTGTGCACAGCACCCCCTGCACTGCGGCCAAAAGGATGGGCATTTCTCCCCAAAACCCAATGGCTGCTGCCAGCTGCCACAGTGACAGGCGGGATCTGTTCTCACCACCTGTCGCCATCCCTGAGGAGTTGTTCCCTCCTCTCTGCTGCTGCCAAGGCTGTTGGAAAAGCCCCGCAGGAAACCCTGCATTAACAATGCTGCTCACGTCAGAAGCCCCTCCACCCACATCACCACAGCTGCCGTGCAGCTCTGGGCACAAAAACATGCTGCTTTGTGAGGAGCTGCACAGTTATCCACAGTGAAGCCATCCAAATGCTTTGGGCCAAGCACTCTGGTACCCTGGGCCTCCCGAGCATGCAGCTCAGCCCCTCTGGGCCTCTCAGTTTGGGGCCATGCCAAGGAGGGGATCAGGAACTGTGGACCTCCCCAGGGCTTTGGTGTGTCCCTGAAGAGAGCCCCCATGAGCCCTCCATGTGGCTGCGGGTGCAGCAGGGGTGATGCTGCAGCCACGGCACGGGAGCAGGGAGAAAACCTCGAGTGACATTTCTGTGACCAGGGTGTTGACAAGGAGCCCCATGTTCTGCCCTGGTGCTGGTGCAAACCTGGTCCTGCTGTGCAGGGCAAGGGACTTCAGTGCTCAGTGCCCCTGACTGCTGCTACCTGTTGATCCTTCCCCTCATCAGGGACTCAGCCTCGCATGCTGAGCCACAAAGTGTCCTTTAGACTCTGCTGATAATGGCCATCACAACGCCATCACTCCCTGAAAGGCACTTCAGCTCCCTGCTGAGAGCCACAATTCAGTGGTGACCAGGAATTCTCCGTCTGAGCCTTTTCCTGGCCAGGAGCTTCATTTCCTGCAGCTGCAAAACACTTGGGATATCAAAAAAATCACTTCCATGTGCGCTGCAGAGAACAGCCAACTCATTGCACCCATCTCAGGCAGGCAGAGCAAAACCTAACCCAGCTGAGCAGGAAGGCTGTGACAGAACAAAACTACGCCGTTAAAAATAAAAAGATTCACTTTTATTTCAACAAAACCCCTATCAAGCATTGGAACAAAGCAAATATTGCTTTTCAAGGTGCAAGAATTTTGCAACACTTGGGCAAAAATACTAAAGGAGCTTTCCTCAGTAGGTATATTTTCTAGATTGCACTCCTTATGTCAGAACTTTTGATGTTACATTGAGATATCCTTTCCCATTAGAGAAAGCTCAAACATTTGCACAGTATTTAAGAAATGCTCTCCAGCCCCCAGACATGATGAATAATATCAAGTACAGTATCACATAAGTCACGGTACATGCAAATATTTTAAACCTGAAATTGTGTCTGTTCAGTTTTTTAAAAGGCCATAGATGCATAAGCTTTTATCAAAGCATGGTCTTGACAGTTTTGTATTTTGAAATACCAGTGACCATACTTGACTAAATCACTACGATGTGTTGCGTGTTCACACACATCGCAGGCAAACATGTGTGTGTATGCATTGTATGAAGCCATTTTGACTTATTCTGACCCAGAGAGGAATTTTGTGCCAAAAATAGTACCCCGTTTTCATGCAAAAGTTAAAAAAAAAAAAGAAAAAGAAAAAAAAAA